TGTGAAACGCAGCAGTGCAAAAAAAAAAAAAAAAAAAAAAAAATCCTTTACACAGGTACTGTACTGACATAAAGATTTTTTGTTGATTAAAATTTTGATTTAGTCTTTTGATTATTATTCGGTTACAACGCCCTTATACTATTTCAAACTACCTTGATAACTTACAGTAATAGGAAATATCCCCCAACGTCCAATATTGCGTTTTAGCCATATATCTGAAATATATCAATTATTATAATACAATTCAATAATATCTTATTCTTTCTGGTACAAACGACGAACTTTTTTTGAGAACCGCTAAGTATGTTATTAATCTACACAATTGTATTGGTGACAGTTACTTAAAAGCCAGTGATAATTTTGTGCCATAATGTACACCGCTTGTATGCTTGTATATATTCTTCAAGACTATATACGCACATATGCATGAACCTTGACGCCAAAGGACGCAGCAAATTATAGTAGTTCCACAAGACAGTACTCCGATTACTACCCAACACCATCCTGGCACTGCTGCGACATATAATAACAGCTAAAACAAAAAAGTAGATAATAATATAATTATGTATTTGCTCTCATGAGATTATAAAGATTATTGCAGACTTCACAAAGCACTTGGATTTAGCCCACACAAAACTGACTCGTCCTTGTATCACACCGTTTCTCAAAATTCTTCAAACACACACACACACACACACACACACACACACACATACTGGCTCCCATTTTCACGGAGAATGATCTTTTAAGATCAGGTTAAACCCTGTTGTTGTTCGTTTTTAAGCTTGCTACAGGTGAAAATCTACCTAATTGCAGTCCCATGCTACAGTGCATGTAGTTAACCTTGGATTTAAGTGAATGCTGAACTAAAACTGATTTGTAATGACGCCATACACTTTTGCGAGGGAAAATACATGTATGTATATCCCACTATACAGGCCCTACTGGGTGCTTTAGACTTGGCTGTCACTAATAAGCTATGCTAATATACCCCTGTATAGTGTTCAGTCTATGGCGTATAAATAGCGTATAAATGACAATTTTATAAGATTCTTTTCAAATAGTTAAAAACACTAGCGTGGTATTCTAAAGCCGTTTTAGTGGCTTTTAGGTTCATTAACGGGAGAGCAAGGCGACGGACGACCCTGCTTGTCCTTACTGGGCCGCCATATGGGCGAACGCACGATTGGTTGACGTAACAATCATGAACGCTCTCGCCAGCTCTTACCCCAGCTACTAGTTGCCAAATTACACTTCCCCTGCCGTCGCTTCCCTGTCCCGTACCAGTCCTGCCATCCATAGTCGTGTCGATGTTCCTAGCTACAGGTAGATGGGCTCTACTGTAGGCCTACTAACTGTAGAACTGTCACCTGATAATGTGATATAGTGTGAGATGCTTCCTGTTTCGTTAAACATTGTCTATCTTCTGCAGGGGCATTTTGCACGCCATATATGTCTGTTTTTTTTTTCGGCGGTAGGAAATTGAATATTTTTATGAGTGCGGTCGGCTGATCCACGATGTAACCTTGCTGACCCACGGGGCACGAAAATATAAAATGCTGTTTGTACACACAAAGTCAATAAGAAAGTGCCCTAGTTCTTTAATATCAGCTCTCTCATAGGCCTATCTGTTAAATAAAAAATCTCCTCTGTTCTGTATTTGGGGTAAGCCAATAACGCTCATAAGCTAATTCAGTAAATAAAAGACTTATGTAAAATATTGAAATGTACTAGAAAATGTTCATCACAACGATCTACTGGTACATGGTATCATATAAGTAGAGAAAGTAGGCCTACTCTACTTCTGTGATGGTATATAAAACTGAAACCAAGAAGAATGGAAGAGAACAATTACTAGAACCTTTTGACATTAAAAAAGGACGTAAAATAAGTAAGGACGCGCCAGTTTTGAGCTTTGTAATAACATAACTAAAAATCACAAAAAAAAAGAAAAAAAGTTTGGATTCAACACATAGTGGTCTCGTGCTTGAAATTTTCAGAAAACGTTGCTTGAGTTGCTACCTGCAGCCAACTACCGCAATCGCCATCCTCTTAGGCTGTGTCTCCTCTTGGACGGTATCGCCATCTGGGACCACCGATTGTAAACAAAACAATGGCGAACTGCGAGGCAGAGGCAGCCAACTCTTCAGAGAGCTGGTAAAAGAATTCATGCTCCTTTCTCTCAACTTTGACAATCAGTACAGGGAGCAATGGTAAGGATAAATATTGTTTTTCTTATTCATTCCGAATTCTTTAACGTTTATCTTATTTTGATTTGTGGCCTGCAAACTTAAGCTGATTTAATGTCACCTGGCAGAGTTGACCGAGAATTTGTAGACTGAGGGGGCGTGTGCTGAACGTACGAACGCTAGGTCCCTGCGTTAATTCAGTTGATTAAAGGCTGTATTTCATGGATATCCTCTGTGATATAATCTTTGTCGATTTAGGTTTGAATTTTGAGAAAGACGTGTACATGTGCCTGATTTAATTTGGTGCTATAGCTACTATTAGTGAGAATTGTCGAGTTGAATGAATTATTTTTACGGGATTCGATGACTTTTTCTTGTCCCATACGCTTCAGAATTTACCTCTGATATAAAGCCAAATGGTCTTTGCTTTTTCATACTGATATCTCTATTCAGAGCTGACGGATATGTTCTTGGCTACCTTGAATTTAATAAATTTGAAATAAGTACACATAGAAAGGCACCACAATTATAATGCTAGGGGAGGGCTGTCTTAAGGATGTTGAGGTGCCAAGGGTTGTTCTGTCCCTTAGCTCTTTAATCTATCTCTCTCTCTCCCTCACTCCCCCTCTTTCTTTCATGTTCTAATATACTGTACACACACACACTCTTCACTTAGACCTCTATTCTATAGATACGCCATCGGTCTATATGTAGAAGATTGACCCAACTATATGCGAGGACTCTGGCTAAGTGCAATCAGCTTAAATTAATGACACACCTCCTGATTTTAAGTGGAATACAGAAAAGCTCTCTCTCTTCATCTCTCTCTCCATCTCTCTCTCTCTCTCTCTCTCTCTCTCTCTGAAGGCATTCAGAACAAGTTGATCTGCAGACAAACAGATCTGCAGATCAAATATGGCCGGCCCACTTGAAAGCAACGCTGTATAAAATCCTGATGAACTGCCCAACTCCACACACACCGTCTCTGCAGGGGCCTAGCAATTAAACATCCAAGCCGAGATTTAATCTGTTAAAATGGTGCGTCTGGAGGCAGGGAGACCATCAGGGGATTATTCGGCACTGCCTTTAAGTGGCTGGGCCATATTTAGTCCATGGATATGTAAGTCTGCTCATCAGCTTGTTCTAAATCTGCTCTCTCTCTCTCTCTCTCTCACCCACACATTTCCTGCACACTGTTAGGGATTAGACAAGTCAAACATATGTAAGGCACAGAACGACCATTGATGTAAGTGGAATAATCAATCATTTAGCTGGCCCTGTAGCACTAAGGTGCTCAGGTCTTCACTCTGGCATTACAGCCATGTTTAAGTTTAAGTCAACTGTTAGAGAGTTTTTAAAACAAATTCTTTAATCATCACCACCAGCCTTTGGTACTGTATTGTTCAAATTTTAATGGTAAATAAATTGTGCTGTTTGTTGGAGTACCTACTTTCTTTTCTTTGTTTCTTCTTTGTTTTTTACAATCATTTTTCACCTAATTTTACATAATTGAACACGGCACATACAAATCATACAGATACAACAAATCAATAATTTGCTAAAACTTCTCTTATTCTGGCACCCAAGCCATAGCCATGGAGCAATTTTTTTTCCTTTTTGATAGTTTACCTGGGCTGCAGGGGCTCATTATACCATCCATTATGTCTTCCAGTGCCTAAAATAATTGCTGTGCACTGGAAAAAAGTCACAGATCAATATTTCTAATATAAAATGAAAGGATGTCAACAGTACAGTAAGTAATTTGATTGTGCAAAGAGAGAAAAAGAGAGAGAAAGAAAGAGAGCAATAATTTAGAGAAGAGAGTTATTAAATTGTTACGGAAATTTGCAATAATTCCCCATGGGATAAAGGCAGCTGTACAGGACCCTCTGGAGTTCATGTGGGAAAACCTGAACATTTGTAAAGCCAAACGGAACTTTTCATTTTCTTCTCACCTTAGTTTGCGGAGTTGCTGACTCCTCTTTTATATGCATACTTTACATATTATTTAGAACAGACTCCCATAGTTAATAGGTGTTACTTTATTGTTAATAAGATATTAGATAGTAGATGTATACATTTTTAGTACTGTCATGTTAGTCATTTTTAATTTGCTGCACAGAAATCATAGAAATCTTTCTCTGGCCATCCTTGCTTCAGTTTCATGTCTGAAGACAGAGGTGAAGTATTCTAGTATGGTAATGATTTGGATCTTTTCAATGGGAGAATTATGGATTTTACAAAAACTGTATTTTTTAAAGTCAAAATATATTCTTAATAAAGGCACAACATTCCTTTTAAGCGTTTACAACAAAATTGGAACGCAGGCTACCCTATTGTCATATTCTGTACAGTATAAGTGCCAAAAATGCTATACAGAATATAATTATAATGATTCCAAAATTATATACGCGAAAGAAGGCTCTGCATTTGTATTTGTATTGTATTTGAAGGCACCCTATTACTCTCAGGGTGTAACTATACCAATTCAGTTCTTTGTGTTCTTTGACTCACAGGGTGTAACTACACCAATAAGGTCTTTGGCTTTGTTCACATGGAAAGTCTATTTTCTAAAAATCTATTTTCTATTCGCAGTATCTTGTGATCACGGTCTGTGCCCTGAATACCCCGCGGCGTAATTACTGGCAGCGTGAGGCAGTTACTTCCAAAGCTGTAATTAATTCGCGACTGCGCTCGGAGTGATCATTAGATACTGCGAATAGAAAATAGATTTTTAGAAAAAAGACTTTCCATGTGAACGGAGTCTTTGAGTTCTTTGACTATCAGGGTATAACTACACCAGTTCAGCTCCTTATATTCTTTGGTTCTCAGGGTGTATTGGCCGCAGTAATCCAGATGTCTATTGAAGAATGGCGCTGTGTCTCTAGGGACGCGCCATTGAGTGGCTATATGAAATGTCAGGCCTTTCTTTATCAACTGACGAGCATGCTGTGCTTTCTTAGGTCAAGAAGAGATGATATTACTAGTATAAGTTATACTGTGTGAGGACATACCTCATATGAGATTTTTCTTTCTTGTCATGAATTATGTCTTTTATTACTTTTGTCATGGCTATTGATTCTCAATCCATCAGATACTGACCTTGAATGTGAAGAGACACTCGACTTTTTTATTGAAACTTTTGAGGCAACATGTTTAAGTTCTGTGGTTTTATGGTTTCCAAATTTCCATGTATTTTTTTTTCACTCTTATTAAAATATCATGAAATCTTTGTATAGAATTTTTGTTTTGTTTAAAAGTACAAAAAAAGCTGGGTTCTGGATTCACTATAGCAGCATAAATTTATTTATTTATTAGATGATTTAAATTATATTGCCTGCATTGAAAATTGTGAAGGATTGTATTTACCTCACCAGTAAGTTTTTAATTGCCATTCTCTCTCTCTCTCTCTCTCTCTCTCTCTCTCTCTCTCTCTCTCTCTCTCTCTCTCTCCTGCTACACACAAAAGTAAACACATATTGCCTTAAATCATCTCAGCACAGAACTAGGCTGAGAACAGACGGAGTGGGATTATATTGATCGGCTCAAGTATAAAAGAAGATTACATTTTATCCCGTTCTTTTCTTTCTTTATTGGCCAAGGTCTCAACTCTGGGGATTCCTCTACATCCGGTAGGTGACCACACCTGATTGCACTCGTTAGAGGCATCTTTGTTGTTAAGCACATTTATAGTAATTGTGAATGCATATATTTCTGTAATTGTTGGTACATAATCGTTATTCCTTCATTTCTATATTTCATTTTATGGATGTACTAGCTTATCGATAAAAAGGTCCTGTTTCAAAGGACTTGTAAGTGGTTTTTGTTCTGGATGTTTGGAAAGTAACTCTTTTTGTGCTTGTTCTAATGGCTGTATAGTATAGAAAAAATATCACATGTCAGTTTGACTGTTGTTGTTATTTTCATTATTATTATTATTTCTTGTAGCAAGGGTTAAGGCAAAAATTTTGTTATCTCAATGTTTGTAAACATTGCTGTTGCATTTTCTTTGGTTTCATTTATAGAACATCTATAATGTATGTGTCTGCATATATCTGAGCCTGTTCTTAACACAGTACCTCTTGTTCAATGTGAAGCACCCTGGATATCAGAGCTTATTTTCCTCCAATATCAGCATGTCTCTGCTGTTACCAGGATACTTGACTGGTTCCCTATAATCTCTGAAATTCAGGGTACATGTTCAAGAAGGGCATCATTCAGAAGCAAACTTGAACCACCTACTTGAAAGCCTGCCACATAATCCCCTTGGGGAATCTATTCAGTGTCCCTTAGGGGATTATGCAGCAAGCATTCAAGGGGGTCGGACATATTTGATCCGTGGATCTGTTAGCCCATGGACCCAGTTGTTCTGAATGTATCCAATGTTTTCACTTGTTTGATAGCATTCCACTTACAGTACATGTATTTATGTATGTATATATATATGTGTAAGCATGTTTATATATGTCACTCATGCGTAAAATGTTGCCACTAAAAGGAAAGGTGTGTTGAATGACTTAACTAAGTTATTATATATATATATGTCACATGTGCATATAATGTCATTGTAATGTAACCACTAAAAAGAAATGTGTGAAGAATGAATGAAAAAATTAACTATTTTTTTTCAGCTTGTTAAATAGTATATGACGACATGGTGATCTAAGTACTTCATCTTGCCCCTTCTTTGACTTATTATTCTGATACTATTGGAATTTTCTTGTATACAAAGTGCATGCCAGATCAGTCAAATCCAGACTACTAGCTATTATTTCCCACATAATTTCTCTGAGAGCAATCGATTGGCAATTGCCATATTACAATTATGCGGTGGTCAAGATACGATTAAGTTGACCCGAGGCCAATGTTCGCTGGCTGGAGATTGGTCAGCCATCTTAATTGAAGCTTATTTCTTCCCACTTGAGGTTTTTCTATTTTGTTTTGTAGACATGGGGAGTAGGTTAATGCATGGATTTGTGAATTAATGAATTAAACTGAGATTTCATAGTGAGAGAGGGTCAGATGAAAGCTGGCCAAAGTATTTGCAGTGTGGTGGACTTGAATTTGGCCAGCCCCATCACAGATCCACAGCTTTAGGTCACAAATGACAATTATTGTTACAGAGGCCTGATGTGTGATGTTCACAGTTCCATAACTCTCTCTAGTTCCAGATCAATTATGCTGGAGATGTAACTGCTCATGACCTGTGTTCGCACATGTTGTGTGGCTCCAAACATTATCAAGTACATTACTGTTATCTCTATGTCTCTATATTGTCTCATGTTTTATGACTTCTTATATGTGATAAGATATGCCAATTGCTCTTCATGAAGAAGATACTGTGGTTTACACTAATATTTGATAAAGCTCCACCCCTTTGTTAAATGTCTGGTGACATGACCCTGAGATTCAGGCCTCATTCAGAAAAGGGAACTATAACTAGTCCTAGGGCCAAATATGGCCGACCCATTTGAATACTTCCCCACGGGTTATCTATTCAGTGTTTATTAGCAGATTAGACAGCAGGTTTTGTAGTGGGTTGCCATATTTGACCCTCGGTGGAGTTAGTCTCCTATTGTAAATGGGGCCTCAGAGGTCACTGGGAGCTTACCTCTCTGCTGACACCATGTCTCTCCCATTTCAAGTATCACCAGGAGCTTCTGAGTTTCCCTGGGCACTGGCCTCTGCCACCAGCTTGCCAGACAGTGTTCTTCCTGGGCATTTAGACCCCATTCCCAGAGATTAGATCGATTCAACTAGATCGACCATACTCCCTGGGGGTTCACGCTAAATAGCTGTCAGCCGAGCGGGCATGAAAGTTTATTACCCCCTTACAGCTTGTAGTAGGCGGGACGGACATTTAAGCCAGATTATCTGACAGTAATCTAGTGAGACTCCCCACGGGGATAGATCGATCTAAATGTCTGGGAATACGCCCTTAGAGACACGGGGCATGTTTGATGTCATGCTGGCACATGTATAAGTTTGATGTTTGGCAAGAGGAGATCTGAGAATTCTAGAGACAGCTTAGCTTCAATTTCTTGTTTGATGAGAGGCTAAAATTGATTTAAATTATCATGAAAAAAATGTGTTTCTCATTATGTGGCCTTAAATGGTCTGATTAAAATCATCAATTTCAGATCAAAATTGAGCTAACATGGTCTTTAGACCATTATTGGACTGATTTACAGTTTATTTGTTAATATATATGCAGTTGTCTCCCCTCACATGTTCTCCCATTTTGAGCACAGGTGTCCTCCATTGTGAGGGAAGGAAATTACTTGACACTTTAAACTACGTAGGTGTCGGATCAGTTTTGTTAAAAGAAGTCCCATTTTAACACCATTTCTATAATTGATTGAGAATATGTAAGGTCATTTGTGATCTGAAATAGCTGATTAATTAGGACCATTTCAGGTGCACTGATGGTAGTAGCAGAAGTACATGTATATATAATGTCAGTAAGTATACAATATAATTGAATTGTTTTATTTTATACAAAAGAGATGAATAATTAATTTTTTAATCTAGGCTGAGTTTTTCACTCAGCTTTGCGTCATCACCAAGCGTATGACATACTCATGCACTTGCGCACACATAGTAATTACACACGTACACACACACATACATGCACGTACACACACATACACACACAGAAGAACACAGTGACACATACAACTGACACACACACAAACACACACACACATACACACGAAAAGGCATACACATACATAACACATATACAGATATTTACATATATATATATATACTAGACTAAGTATATATATAATAGTACACAGACACACATACACTCATATCTACATGCTTACACCTGATGTTTTTCCTCAACCTTTGGCCATTCATCTTAGCACAAGTATTCTGATATATAGTACAGATGATCTGCTGTGTATTCTGGCATACATTCAGCATATAGTACAGATGATATGGTGTGTATTCTGGTTTATGAGCACTCAAGCATTCCTAAATGCTGTGCATGTAAATATTAGAGAGGTTTATGCATGAGGGAATGCAGCTGCTGAGGAAATTATGTTACCAGGTGTCCAGAAAGACAGTCAGATGACCCATGGAAAAACACCAGATATCTCCTAGCGTCCATGCAGTGGCCAGGATAATAAAACATTGGATTTTTAAATACAATAATATTAAAATATTATAGGGCCATTCCGTGGTATTTGGTCTGAAGAACTTAAAATGTCAAAAAAGACTCCTACTTACTTGCAAAACTTATAATTTCTGAAACCAGGAGGGGAGGCCATTAAAGGATAAGGCGGTCTTGCTTTCACGTAGGGTCCGCCATATTTGAACCACAAATCAGTAGATCCTAAGGATCATCTTTTCTGAATAGGGCTTTAGATAATTCATTTATAGGCATATTTTATGGAAAACAAGTTTATATATTGAGAAACAGGTTTTTCATTGTCTTTGGTAATATGGTGGTAGAAAAAATAAATAGACTAAACACCTATTTTTTACCCTTGGAAGAGTTCCAATCATGAATATGTTCATTCACATTTGAGATCTGTGAATTTTCCAATTAAGACTCCTGTTTCACATCTTTCTCTGTGTTTAAATAACATTAGTAATCACTGCACTTCATGCACTTGTCAACATAATAATCAAAATGAAATCACCTCCGCATTATCATGTATTGAAGTGACAAGTCGGATTTATCACAACAAGCTGTTATCTTTAGTTTCAGTTGAAATGGATCTTTTGNGGACGGACATTTAAGCCAGATTATCTGACAGTAATCTAGTGAGACTCCCCACGGGGATAGATCGATCTAAATGTCTGGGAATACGCCCTTAGAGACACGGGGCATGTTTGATGTCATGCTGGCACATGTATAAGTTTGATGTTTGGCAAGAGGAGATCTGAGAATTCTAGAGACAGCTTAGCTTCAATTTCTTGTTTGATGAGAGGCTAAAATTGATTTAAATTATCATGAAAAAAATGTGTTTCTCATTATGTGGCCTTAAATGGTCTGATTAAAATCATCAATTTCAGATCAAAATTGAGCTAACATGGTCTTTAGACCATTATTGGACTGATTTACAGTTTATTTGTTAATATATATGCAGTTGTCTCCCCTCACATGTTCTCCCATTTTGAGCACAGGTGTCCTCCATTGTGAGGGAAGGAAATTACTTGACACTTTAAACTACGTAGGTGTCGGATCAGTTTTGTTAAAAGAAGTCCCATTTTAACACCATTTCTATAATTGATTGAGAATATGTAAGGTCATTTGTGATCTGAAATAGCTGATTAATTAGGACCATTTCAGGTGCACTGATGGTAGTAGCAGAAGTACATGTATATATAATGTCAGTAAGTATACAATATAATTGAATTGTTTTATTTTATACAAAAGAGATGAATAATTAATTTTTTAATCTAGGCTGAGTTTTTCACTCAGCTTTGCGTCATCACCAAGCGTATGACATACTCATGCACTTGCGCACACATAGTAATTACACACGTACACACACACATACATGCACGTACACACACATACACACACAGAAGAACACAGTGACACATACAACTGACACACACACAAACACACACACACATACACACGAAAAGGCATACACATACATAACACATATAC